ATGGACAGGTGTGACGGCGTGCGTGTGCGTGTGCGTGTGCGTGGGCCGCCGCCAGCAGACTCCCGCCGGCGTGCAACCAAGCACAGTATGCTGCTGTGCCCAAAGAGTCGAGCGCGGCGGGCGTGGAGACGCGGCGGGCGTGCGGGAGCGGGCGCTGCTCTGGTTATGGGGCATGGCGGCCATGGCCTGGCGGCGTATGCGTGTGCGTGTGCGTGTGCGTGTGCAGGCACAGGCGACGCTCGCTCACGGCCTGTCGGTGTTGTGCGTTCTAGACATGAGGAAGCCGCGACAGGGCCGCGTCAACCCGCCCGCATGCGGTAAGCGCGAGTCGTCGTCGTCTTGCCCCGTCCCTCAATCAATTACCCTCGTCCGCACCTAACGTCCAACGCAGCGACACCACGACTTATCGACGACGACACTGCGTCCCTCCCGCGCTGCCCAGCCGCCTGCACTCCTCCCCCCCCCCAGCGAGCATCCCCAGCCTGCTCGTCGACTCCACCAGCAGCAGCAGCAGTAGCAGCAGCTCCCGCGGCGCCAGTGTTTCCCAGAATATCTGCCTGTGGCTATCCTCGTTGCTGCGCCGCCGCATCATCGGGCTGTGCACCCACTGCCAACTTGCACCACCCGCCCGCCTCGCCATACACCAACACCCACCGCCGCCGTCGCCGCCGCCTGCAGCCTCCACATCCTCCCTCCATCACCTCGACACGTCCGGCCATTGCGACTGCTGCTCGCAACCCCGTCCACGATGGATCACAACACCCGCGCGCCTCGCGCTGCCCAGCACCCCATGGACACGGACAGGCTGGCCGCTGAATTGACCGAGCAGTTCCGCCACGTCCTCAGCACCAAGCGCATGAACGACCTCTCATCACGATCATCGCATTCCCGCGCATCGTCACCAGCCCCCCGCGACTTTGGCTCCCCCCAGCCGCCGCCCTCGCAAGCCGCCCCGCCCGCCTACTCGTCCATCAGGAACATCCCCCTCGTCCCCGAGCCGCCACGCGATGCCCGCTCGCTCCGCTTCAAGAACATGCTGCACTCGCTGTCCAACATGCCCGTGCGATGGGAAAACCCCGGCCTCCTCGACGAGGCGCTCCGCGTCATCCCCCTCGAGCAAATCTACAACGAAGCCGAAGAAGAGAGCCAGATCCTGCAGGCCGAGGCCGAGAGCATGGGCGCCGGCAAGAAGGCCGCCTGGGGCTACCAGGACTGCGTCGTCCGCGCCCTGCTGCGCTGGTTCAAGCGCTCCTTCTTCTCATGGGTCAACAACCCGCCCTGCTCGCGATGCTACTCCCCCACGGTTGCCTACGGCATCACTCCGCCACTGCCCGACGAGCAGGCCCGCGGCGCCAGCCAGGTCGAGGCCTACCGCTGCTCCAACGAAGCCTGCAAGAACTTTGAGCGTTTCCCCCGATACAACGATGCCTTTGTACTGCTCCAAACACGGCGAGGCCGATGTGGCGAATGGGCCAACTGCTTCAGCATGCTTTGCCGCGCCGTTGGATCACGGGTACGATGGGTCTGGAATGCTGAAGACCACGTTTGGACCGAGGTCTACTCGGTGCACCGCAAGCGATGGGTCCACGTAGATGCCTGCGAAGAGGCATGGGACAAGCCCCGGCTGTACACTGATGGTAAGCCACGACAGCACCACGCGCACCTGCGCACACAAGACTAACCCGACTCTGCAGGCTGGGGCAAGAAGCTCTCGTACTGCATTGCCTTCTCTGCAGATGGTGCCATGGACGTGACTCGACGATATGTCCGCGACGCCAAGCATGCTGCCGAACGCAACCGCGCACCAGAGGCAGTCCTCCTCCACATCATGGACGAGATCCGAGCAACACGGCGGAGCAACATGTCCAAACAAGACAAGTTCCGCCTGCAGGGTGAGGACATCCGCGAGGCCAAGGAGCTCCGCGCAGGCATCATCTCATCAATTGCACACGCCGTGTGCAAACTACGACCCGAAGACATCATCAACGGCCGGGTCACGCGCCGATTAGACGCCGATGCGCAAAAGGCATTGGAAGGGCGCATGAGCGGAAACTCGCAATGGATACGGTCACGTGGCGAGAACGGCCAGCAACCAAACCAGCAAGACCCTCGCAACCAACAAGACCCGCGGAACCAGCACCCACGCTGAAAGTGCTGGCAACGGGCACCCAGCATGCACGACGATGCACGCACTCGCTCGCTCGCTCGCTCACTTACTCACTCACTCACTTGACACGGGTACCTTTTCTTTCCATCGCACCCCCCTCTACACGACTTAGCCGAGCCATGGCACTGTGCGCTCGAGCATGCAGACTGTGCGACGGAAGCTGGGATAGCCACGACGACGCTCCGTCTCCCCCGCGACCTTGATTACGCGGAAGACAGCTCCGGCCTGTACAACATAGAATCTGCGATTCATCTTGATTTGGATTCATTTTGCGCTGGCGTTCAGGAGCACATGATACAAGCGACATAAGCGGTAACCTGTAATGTCTGCACCCACCTCGAACCGAGGCATTTCCTAGGTGTGTTTTGTTGTTTTGAATTCTCTTCTCTTCTCTCTTTGTAAGTCTCTCTACTTGGGCATACCACCACCATTGCGGCCTTGTTTCTTTTTGTTGTTTGTTGCATTCTTCACTTCTACTTGTTTGTGTGCACGCAGGGGGTTACTTGAAGCGGCACTGTTTATACCATTTGGACGTTTGTTGTTGACGATTTGGGAAAGGGGATTTTTCTCTCTTATGTTTATTTTGCATGTTACGAGCATTTTACAGTCTAGGCACGACGTACGGGCTTCATGTTTGCAGGCATTGCGCAATGCTGACAGGGAATTTTTTTTTTGGAGGGGATGGGGTGTGTTGTACACGGAAGGTGTGGGGATCCGCAGCAGGACGCTGAGGTGTAGGAGGGGTTGACGCGCGTCCGTAGCCGCCTCGTCTGCAGGGCATGGTGGACGATTAGGGCAGGGCATAGGAGATAGAAAAATGCGAAGCCAGAGATTGGCCGTGTACACATACAGGGATAAGAGTGCAAAGTATGTGTGATGATTATCTTGTGGCGTTATGTAATGTTTTTTTTTTGACAAGAGAGAAGTCGGACAGGGCAAATAGGGACAGGCAGATGCCGAGGGAGAAAGAGAGAGAGAGAGAGGCGCACGAGAGATTGGCGGGGGACGCGCGTAGGATGGGCACATGGTCAGAAACACTGGAAACGAGATGACGAGGGCTCCACCTGTCGTATGTTGCAACGTCTTACCCCAATCGGCAAAAAGCACAGCGGGAAAAGCAATCAAGCCACATGTTTCAGTGGGGGAAGGAGGATGATGAGCTATGTATGTTGGGTGCATGTATGGGTGCATGTATGGGGGGTAGTGGGAGTAGATAGGGAGCATGAAAGAGGGAGCGAAGGGGCGTCAAGCGAGTGGGTGGCGGGCCGTGTCATGTGCGCGCAACAGCAGCTTTGACAGGCGGCCGACGACGACGGCGGTTCGTTTCTCCAGCTTTGGCCCAAAGCAGTAAAGGGTCTGCACTTTGCACACATGAGAGGAAAAAAAAGGCAGGAGCCACGGGCTAAAAATAGCCGGGATGGGGGGGGGGGAAGGAGTCGAGGCAACAGGCGACTGATTGGGCCTAGGCTGGCGTGAGCAAGGGCTTGGCGCCCGGGTGGTCAGCACCCGAGTGTGTATACATCCGACGCAGCTTGGGTGGCGGTGACGACGAAGCCTGTGCCTGCGAGCTGTGCCTCAACACTAGCAGTATACTAGCCGTGGCAGCGGCATTGCACGCGGGGGCAGCGAGCGAGCAAGCGCAGCGGCCGGGCTGTGTTGAGTGGTTTATGACGAGAGTGCTGATGCTGCTTGGCAACGCGGTGAGGGTAGCAGCAGCAGCAGCAGCAGTAGGGCCGACCAAGCGCTGACGGGCTGAAACGGCGTTTGAGGATTCGTCACTTACTCATCACGGCTCTGCATGTGGGGACACCCCTCTGCAGCATTGAGCGTGCGAGTCTGGAAGGGGGTGCGTGTGCACAGTGTGTATCGCATTGAATCTGCTGTCCTTGGCCGTCGATGGAGCAACAAGCAGCAGGATTCATGGCGGCTTCACGTTGCTTGAAGACGGAGCGAGCCCTCAGCAATGCAAGCAAGCAAGCAAGCAATGGCAATAACCCCGCGGAGCTTTGCGCCGCCAAGACCGCGCCCCGATCCAGTCCACGTACACGTAACCTACCTACTACACACGCAACTCGTTCGGCCGTGTTCGCACGCCAGGGCCCGCGCCAACAACGTACATACGTATGTGCGCGTGTGTGTGTAAAGTAAACGTTCTCCCTCTCCCCTCTGACGCCGCCCACCAGCCCCAATGCTCGGTGAGGCTGATGCAGCAAAAAGACTAATCATGCCAGGGTCAGCCACTTAGATCCCGCTGCGCACAGGCCCTCTATGGGTGCGTCCTTGACCTGTGTCGCCGCTCAGCCCCCCTTGGGCTGGGCGCCTTTAGCTGGCGGCGCCATTTCAGCTGCCCGCTTTGGACCTTTTGCGCAGTGCTTCAAGAAAGACTATTAGTATAACGTCCAGCGCATTTCCCACCATTGCACTCTCGCTACTTTGCACACGTGTGTGGCTTTCCTTTTTCTTTCCTCCTTCGCCTGCGTTGTGCTTGGTCGCTGCACTCGCTCTTCCCCGCGCTGAGACGTTTTGCGCCTACTATACATAACAACAACCAATCGACCGTTGCTTAGCCGATTCACACGTGCACGCACAGGTGACATCAGCCTACCAGCCGTGCCCTGCCCTGTCCCCCCGCGTCCCGCACCTCGACCACCCGCAAAACACCCCAGCCGTAAACACACACGTATACCGGTAAACACCCAAGTCGGCCTTTTACCACAACCGCAACCATGGGCAAAGCCGGGCGCTTCGCGTGCATCCTCACGCCCATGCTACTCACCCTTGCATCGCTGATATGCTTTATTATCGTTATGATGGGTCAAACGCCGTGGAAGGGCAACAATGCTCCTGCCACGGACCTGGGCAAAGATTTATACTTTTTCAAGGTTCGTAGTCCATTCCGCCCGACTGCTCAAGCATGTCTTCTAACCCCTCCACAGGCGGATACAAGCAACATGACGCTCGACTCCAAGACAATCCTCGACAAACTGCCCCAAGGCATTAAGCCCAACAACGCTTTCCTCGACGCCCTCCGCGGCAAGGCCGACTCCAAGGACCTCAAGGACTTTTACCAGGTCGGTCTCTTCTCCTACTGCGAGGGCGACATCAACAACAAGACCGGCGAGGAGAAGATTACCTACTGCTCTGCCCGCAAGTTCCAGTTCCACTTTGATCCTCTCAAGGTCTGGGACATGAACGGCACCAGTCTGCAGGAGGCTCTGGGCAGCAAGTACGAGGATGGAATGAATGTGTACAAAAAGGTGGCCGGTTGGATGAACTGGGCCTTTGTCATTACCCTGATTTTGACCATTTCCGAGCTGGTCGTGGGTATCTTTGCCGTCTTCTCCAGGTGGGGCAGCTTTGTTACTACCATTGTCTCCACGGTAAGTTTTCTATTTCTGATTTGCTCCTCACTTTCTACAAGTACATTTGCTGATCCATGCAATCCAGGCCCAAGCCGTCTTCGCCATTGCCGCAGCCGCCACCGCCACAGCAACCTACGGCACACTGACGGGTGTCTTTAAGACGGCCCTGGATCCTTACAACATCCACATCTCCATGGGCTCGCGCATGCTCTCTACCCTCTGGCTCGGCGTCGCCTTTTCAATCGCCTCAGGCTTCTTCTGGCTCATCAGCACCTGCTGCTGCAGCGGAAAGAGCCCCCACAAGAAGATGGTTGTCGAGAAGACTCCCTACACATACGAGCGTGTTTCCAGCCCCGCGTTTGGCGGCCAGCAGGGACATCAAATGCAGCAGTGGCCCGGAAACTCCAAGCAGACGGGTGCTACCGCCTACGAGCCCTTTAGGTCGCACGCTTAATTATCCAAGGACCCATTGGCATAGGGCACACGAGGCCATATCCACGGGCGCTTTGTTTGGAATTCAACTCTAGCCACTTGACGACATTTAGACGTGTGTGTGTCATGCTTGCTATAACGACTTTTGTATGACCACTTGTAGGGGAGTTTTTTTTTTCTCATTTTGCTCGGCAACAGTGTTTTTTTTCTTTTCTAACGAGGTTGTTATACCCCACCTATGATATGAACCGGAAACGGCGTTTTTCTTTCTCGCTTGGCTTGTTTTTACTCGTTGTTTTTCCTGGGGAGGGGGGGAATAAGCAGGAATATCGTTGGGTATTTGGCATTGCATATCGTGGAATCATGGGAGAGAGGGAGATGTGGATATCGTTGGTTGGTCGATCGGTTGGTTGGATGGATTAGAGAAACCACGAAATAAAAAAGCATACTTTGATTCCTATTCCTCGCTGTGGACATGCCATGTTTTCGAGTACTTCAGCATCATTATGGACTTTGCCGACTTTTTGGGACGTGTTGCTAACTGCAGTCGACGTGTTTGGTTGAAAAAGAAACATGGTCTTGGGTACCAAGTACTTGCTGACTTGCTGACTTATTGACTTATTGACTTACTGCCTTATTGACTTACCGACTTACTGACTTGATGACTTGATGGCTTACTAGATGGATAGATGAACTCGTATCCTCTTTTTTTCTTATTCTTCTTCTTCTTCTTCTTCTTCCCCTTTGTTCCTTGTATGCAGCAGAGTCAAGAATGAATATACAAATACGCCATGTACTTGACTATGTCTACGCATTTTGGGATTTTATATGGAATGGAAATGAAGAAAAAAGGATAGGAGGCATAAAAGGAATAAAAGGAATAAGAGGAATAAGAGGAATGAGTACAATACATGGTGGGAAGAAGAAGGAAAAGGAAAAGGGAAAGGAAAAAAAAAAAAGAGAGAGAGAGAGAGAGAGAGAGAGATAGAGAGATAGAGAGAGAGTGTGTGTGTGTGTGTATAAGATGGAGACAAGGTCATTTTTACAAGCAATCTTCATAATAGAAACATAACTAACTAGCTAGCTAGCTAGCTATGATTTTCCCAAAGGTAGCGTAAGTAAGTAACACTTCTTTTTTCTCCTTTTTTTTTCCTTGGCCTTGGACTTTGCATCTATCCACTTGAGAGAAAAAGTAGACGTTTCTTTCTTTGTTTTTCTTTTTTTCTTTCTTTTTAAGGGAGCATACATGTGGATAGTATGTCGATAATCTAAACATGACATTTGCGATGATTCTGTTTCTTTCTCTCTGCATACAATCATCCATGTGCGTCCATGCATCCATGCATCCAGGTAGCTAGCTAGCTAAAAAAAAACACCAAGTAGCACTCACTATTTATTTTTTGGATTGTTCTCCTCCGTTGTTGTTGTTCTTCTTCTTCATCGTCTTCATCTGGTCATATGTGCTTTTCAAACCCCCCCCCCTTTCTCCCCTCATCCAGCCAGCCAGACATACATACATACATACATACATACATACATACATACGTACATACATACACACATACATCCATCAATACTACTTTATCCACAGCTCCCTACCCAACTACTCCCTACTGCTCATGCGTGCCGACAAACCTCGGCGGAAGATCCAAATCCCAGCTGGGCCGCTCAACAAGCACCACTTCGGGGGCGTGGAAGCCGTCGTGCGCACTGATGGGGACGATGCCGAGAATGGGGCGGTACTTGAATGTGTGCCACCATGGCTCGCTGCGTTTACTGGTAGTAGTAGTAGTACCATTACTGGTATTACTGCCGTTGACGGCGTCTTCGGCATCGCCTCGGCCGTCTTGACTTTGATTTCTGCCGAGAGCAGTGAGAGAGTGGGTATTTGGATTTGGCTCATCGGCATCAGCATCATCATCTTCGTCGTCGTCGGCGTCAGGCGAGCGGCGAACAGCATTGACATCGATCCATTTCTGTCTGCCCGTCTTATCCGACTCATCGCTCTGGAAACGGCGCATTTTAGCAACAGGCGCTTCTTTACGCGGAATAGCGTCGCCGGCACCCGAGTTATGCTTGGGCGTGTCGCGCTTGCGCTTTTTGCCTGCGTGGTCGGCCTCGGAAACAGGCACCACCAGGTCCCTTGTCAGGTCGAACATGAAGAGCCATTTTTCGCTATACACCCATATCCGTTGCTGCGCCTCGGTCACATCCCAGATGCAGCCTTTGGCGGGGAGGTCGAGTTGCTTGTATTCGCGCGGGTAGCTTGAAGGCGGGTTTCTTCGGGACCATTCGGAGAGGCGGCCGCTCAGGACGTCGAAGAGGTAGAGCTGGTGCTCGGCTGAAACGAGCAGTAATCTGTACTCTGTGGCGGGGAGCTCGTGGGATTGGGGATGCGGATTTTGCCTTGTGGCATGTACGGCTGGGTTTCCGTTGGGGTTTGGTTTGCTGGAGGCGTCCGGGTTGGGCTGGAACGAGAGCAATACGGGTGTTGAGTCCAGTCGGGGAAGTAGATGGCCTGAAGGATTTCGTTCCCAATGCTGGCCCAGATATGTAATCTGTTCGCTCGTCTCTTCCTCGTCACCAGACCCGTCGTCCTCCGCCATAGGGGTTGAATCGCCAATGTCGATCTCTGGTGCGGTTGTATCCTCGTGGCCTTTAATCACCCATGTATCCACGTATCCAGCAAGATCAACGACAGCGAATGCGTTGCCGTCGCTTGAGAAATCGCCATGTGCAATTGATCGTTCGTAGATTCCTGACGGGCCACTCAGGGGGGTGCTTGTGATTGTGTCGCGATCAAGGCGGCGGAGAGGCTGAACTTTCTCCAGAGCCCGGGGCAAGTCTGCAGGATCATCTGTCCGCACTATCCTGACCAGCTGAATTTCGTCTGTAGCCAGAATAGCAGCGAGCCATTTACCAGTCGCAGCCATCTTCAGAGCCTTTGCACCTGCAATTGAAGGCATGTCAAGCTTCCGCACGCGCAGCCCAGGCCCAGCTCCAGCTTGTGGGTGCAGGAGCTGGAACAACTTAACCGTGCTGGCTGTTGCAACGGCCAGCAGTCCACCGTCTCGGGAGATGGAGACTGAAATGATATTTTCCTCCCCCTGGAGAGCAAGACGCGCAACCACCTTGGGCTTTTCTGTTCCATCATCCTGTGGCTTTACCCGCCATATACGGACTTCTGTGCTCCACCAACTGACCAGCAACCTAGCGCCCGAGGCACTCGTCATGGGAGGAGTGGGAGGCAAGGCTGGAAGGCCACGACTAAGCTCCTTTCCAAACTGACGGATGGGTACAACAATGGGCTGTGTGTCGATACCTGTACATGTACTGTTAGTTGCAGAGTATTAGACTTGATAGAGTGTTGTACCTCCGGTGACGACAACGCTGAGCTTGCTGCCTTCGTACGTTGTCATAGCCTTGACGTCGTGTTCATGATGCCTTTGGTGAGACACCTTTCGCCATTTTCCACTCTGTCCCTGCGCTTGACCCTTCTTGCTTGTGTAGAAGCAGGTGCGTCGATCCATGCCTGCACTGAAAATGCTGGATCCATCGCGGGTTACGGCAAGGTCGAGCACATCGGCTTCGTGTCCAGATATCCTCTGTGTCTGACTGTAGTTCTTGCCATTGTAGATTCGAATGTCGCCAGTAGAGTCTCCCGACACAAAGTCGCCATTTGGAAGGCATTTGACCTTCCACACCAAAATCTCCTTTGGGCCACCGTGAGGCCCGCTTCCCAATGAGATATTCCTAATGACGTTGCCGTTCCTGGTATCGAACACTCTGATCATGCTATCTGCGAATCCAGCTAGTACGGTGTGGTGATCCTTGTAGGAGATGCTCAAGGCGCGCGCCTTCTTGTTCGTAGCACGGGAAACGAAGCGCTCAAAGGTCAGGTCGTCGTTGTCGGTAGAAAGCAGAACAATTGTACCGTCGGCGCAACCAGCGACAAGCTTCTGCCGCGCATCGCCTTCGTCTTTTGAAGCTCCCTTTGCCGCATTCTTCAGTCTGGGCTGGGCAGCAAAGCACCAAACTTCGCTGTGGTTTCCGTTGGAATGGCGGGCGGGCAGACCAGTAGTTAGGTCCCATTCTGTGACGGTACTCGAGTATCCGATGCTGAAGAGTCGCAAACGGCCCGGGACTAGCTTGCCTTGGGCGTCGCGCTCATCCGGCTCTTGCGTCCAAGCCAGCCCTTCGACGCTCCGGTCCTTGCCTCCATAGAAGACCTTCTCTTGAAGCCAAGAGCCCTTTGCGGGGTTCCATATTTCAATGTTTCCGTTGGCGCGCCCGATGGCAAGTCGCAGCGACCCTGGATCCTGCTGTCCGTGTTCGGCTTCGGGATGCGAAAAGGCGAGCGCGTTGATCGCAGATGGCGGGTAGGGCACGAAACGAGATCGGTGGATATCCATGGTCAATGGTGGGAGGCGTAGTGCGCCTAGAGACGTTTCCAAGCTGCGCGCAGGTCTGTAAACCGAGCGCTAGCACCAAGACAGTAGACTCATGGCAACGAAGAAGCTCCTTCGCGAAGTTCTCTCGAACTCTTGGCAGCACGACTTTGACTTTTCGGTGGGTCCATCTCGGAGATCGGCTAACTTTTCTCCGAGATCTTGACCACCTCCGCACCACCTCCGCAGCCAGCCTTGTGTGCAGCCAGCCCAAACAGCTCGAGCGAGGTCAGGAAACTTCAAAGGCGATGGTTCTAACTTTAGAAATGTCTTTTTTCCACTGAATAGAGTGTTGAATACCTGGGTATTGTACCCAGACGCCGTGCACTGCGCCCTCACGCCCACGCCCACGCCCCCAAGCAATCCATTCGAAGAGTACGACGGTTGCCCTGGCCCTACGAGCATTACAATACACTTGGATGATGTGGAGAGTTATGCGTGTATATCAAAGGGCTTTGGTATGCCGTACGTATGCATCTGGTACGGGACAAGCCGCTTCGACTAGGACTAGATGCTAGGCAACTGCAAGCTCGGCACTACTCTGGTGCACGTTTCCTCGCGATACGACGAGGCTAGATCTTTCACAAAGGAAGAATTCATATCTAAGGGGGGGGAAACACATGGTTGGGGGCAAACAACCAGGCCTCTGGGAGGTGGAAGGATGATGCTAAACATGGGCTAGGCAGTCGCAGCGCTGTACATGGACGGATCATGTGCGACTACGGCAGTTTCCCAGTGTAGGTGTAGAGCCATAAACTGGCAGTATTACAGAGCAGCGGTGGCGATAATGAAGCTTCAAGTCCAGTGGTCATGTGTAAGACCGGCCTCGGCCTCGGCCTATTTTGGGAATGATTGCGCCTTGTTGCGACTAGGCATGGAATGTAGCTTGAAAAGAACCGGCGTTTCCAGAAACGCCTGATTGTGACCTGTAAGATGCCACAAAGTCGACATATTCTCCTGACAATGTTGCACGAGTCACGATTAGCTTCGCTGGTTCCACAGCCGGGCCAAACTCAATCCATGCGCACCCACGTCATGACAAAAACGTTCCTGGAGTAGCTTTGGTGCCTGAGCACGAACCGCAAAACCGTAGTGGCCAGTGCAGGCGGGACAGTTGGGATCACAGCGACATGTATGGATGGATGGATGGCAACGCGAGGGAACCAAGATGTGTATGTACACATGCAGATGAAGATCGTGGTGCGACGGCAATTGCGCAAGCCAGATGAGATTCGGAGCGGCAGGGGCTGGGCTGGGCGGGGAAGCATTCTGCGCATGATCAGGAACGGATGTGCTTCGGGTTGATCACTTCCAGGCTGGTGGCAGGCCCGCCATGCCCAACATGTTTCAAAAATGGGCGGTAGTGGTGGTGTGGGAAGTCTAATTGTGCGTGTAGCCGGCACGCGCGCGACGCGAACGCCAGAGGGTTTTTTTTGTTGCAGCGTGCAAAGACAGGCGGTCGGAAGCATGGCTGCGTTGATCTCGCGATGAAGCAAAGTAGAGTAGGGCGAACCTTGGAAAGGTACAGCCAGCAGCACGCTTGGGCCGTCAGGCGGGGTATGTAGTGGTAAGCGTTATTGCAGCCGGCCTCATTATCCGTGGAACACGAAGCGGACAAGCCGTGGGAAAGGGTGATTGCGACAGATTGACGTTTCTGCGGAAGAGCGGATGCTGAATATCGAAACATGCAGCAGTCGTGGCGGGACACTGGATGTAAAAGTTTGCCTGGTCGTGGTAGCGCAGTAGACAGGCGTCGTTGCTGGGGAGAATGGACGGAAAACGGGAGTCGCTATGACACTGCATCCACCAAAGGCAAAGAAAAAAATAAAGCCAGGTCCGCTTCTTGACGAAAAGCTGCAACGAATTTGCCGTGTTGGTGAGGTGGATGCGAACATGGGCCCACTCTTGGGGCAAGATGCTAGAAGCCGTGAGATTGTCCGCCCGAGGCAGCGTGCAACATGTGCACCGAGAAACATGGAAAGACGATAGTCTGCATCCTTCGAGTCGCGTATGCACCGCCCGCGCACTTTACGACGCGTCCTGTTCGCGACAAGTGACATAATGTTTGCATCCTAGACGTGCTGAGGTGCAGCAGTGGCTGGCGGAGAATGCGAGTGTGCATGTCGGCTAGCGACTAGCTGCAGCGACAGGAGTGGGAGGGGGGGGGCTTTTTTTTTCTTTCTTTCTTTGCGTGAATGCGGAGTAGGTGTGTATGTAGTAGTGTATGTAGTAGTGTATGTAGTCGCGTGCAAAGGGTGTGTGCTTTTTCCCCATGCCAATGCCGATGATATGATGATGATGAAGGCGAACAAGGACGCTAACATTGTAAGACGATGGGCCCAGCCGCAATTCAATATCCGAAACCCAACCACAGCACAACTGGCCAGGGATTTGCGAAACGCCGCGTGTTACTGGCGTGCAGCGTTGGCCTGGGGATCTGACAGACGGGCTGGCCTACATGACGCCTACACCTGTGACAATGGGCAGGAGCTGCGCGTATATGTGTGTGAGTGCGTGTGAGTGTGAGGGCGTGTGTGTACTAGATGCAAAACAAATGGGCAGCGTGAGCATGTTATGTGCAGGGTGTTCACGTCAGATGTCGAGTGCGGCCGAAGATGGCTGCAGGCCCTCGACACCATTTGACAGTTGGTGATGCAGCTGGTGGGGCCTAATGTGAGGAGCCGTAGCCCGTCGCGGTATGCCCGCTTAGTCAAGCGACCATTCCGTGCATGCCTTTACCTTCCGCATTTAGGCCCTCACCCTCGTGCTGGTCCTTGGTTGCTGGGACGCGACGAGCGCTATGGCTGCAGGCCAGGCGACTGCATGCGGTACGAGAGGCCGCTGCAGCCGTCCAAAGCGGCATTTCAAAGGCGCAAGATGGGTCGCGGCGTGCTCGACAACCCTTGCACTCGGCCGCTCGCAGTAGTGGTAGCAGCAGAATTGGCAATTTGACAAACTATGCTGGGCTCAGACACGCGTTGCTAGTAATGTAATTGGAGCCAAACGCGTGGACCCCCCCCGGGCGTGCAGGCGTGCAGGCGCTAAGAGCCTACCATGTGAGGGCTTGCTCACGACGGCGAAACACCAAAGACTAATCCAAAGCATCGCCAAACGATGGTTTCAACGGCCGTGGCGTGAGGCGGCATGCAGCCGGCAGCACATGGTGATGCACCGGGGCGTGGCCAATTTGCGTGTAACGAGCGAGCGCAGTCGTCATCGAGTCATCCATGGGATGCGAGGGGACCCAGGGGCGGGTGCATGAGCAGCATGGCGTGGAGTAATTTTGATCGCTGACTGCTAAGACGGACGCCAATAGTGAGCTCGCTCGCTCGCTCGCTCGGGCAGAGGGCAGGCTCGTGAGGTGGGCTAGGCGGCGGCCGCGGTGCGACGCGTGACAAGGATGCAACGTGCCGGCAGGGCTGCTTTTGCACGTCTTAGTCCGGCCGAATAAAAGGAGGGCGGTGGGCTTGGTGTACTGGACACCAGGACCATGGGCAAATTATGACGATATGGGATCAAAGGCCCGCGTGCTTGGCGGAGGCCTAACCTCAGCTGCGTGCATAGCGTGTCAGGGGAACCACGACTCTACGAGGCGCACCGGCCAGGGAGCCCTATGCGCGTCTTGGCCGCGACCAAAGCAACAAGTTTCCTGTGCGCAGGCGGGGGGACACATTGGACCGCCATGGCAGCCCATGCTGCAACCTTGTGTAGCTGCATGAGTGGCCTCACCGGAGTGGGCGCAGCGCGCTGATTCGAGCGGCGAGAACGCGCTCAGCGTGCAGCAGAGCAGTAGCAGCCACTGCTCAGCTCTGGCCGCGCGCAGCCAGCTCCCAGGCCGAGGGCGAGAGAAAGAGAGCGCGCGCGCGCGTTGGGGAACAAGCAAGGTGGTTGCAGCTGCGCACGGCGGGGGTGGTGGTGGCGATGATGATGATGGTGGTGATGATGATGGCAGTGGTGGTGTGTAGTCGGAGTAGTACAAGCAGGCGGGCGGGGTGGTCGGGTCGACGTGGTAGCAGTCGTAGCAGTAGCAGTAGCAGTAGCAGCAGTAATAGTCGTCGTGTATTCGCCGTGACATGAGCGGAAGACACGGGTCTAGGACGCGTGCAATGCGGCGTGTGTGTTCCTGGACGAAGCTTGCCGGCGCGCAGAAAACGCCATGGTTGGATCCACAATGGGGGGGAGGGGGGCACGACGACGGCGGCGGAACACGCATCGGTTGGCTGCGCGCTGTGGGCGTATCAAGTTCCCTGTTCCCATGCGGTACAGGCTGCCGTCGCCCGCTTCCGGCTAGCGCCAACCTCCTAGCCCCAGCGAGCCCAGTCGTTTTCTCCAAGCTACGTCCGGCTGCATCGTCGTGCCTCTCTCCTCTCTCCCTCCCTCTCCCTCCCTCCCTCCCATACCCTCTCTTTCATTACGGTCGAGCACGGAGAATCCTTGGATCTGATGTGGTGCTGAGGCTCTCGGCTCCTGTCTTTCCATAAAACTCCCCGTCTCCTGCTCTCGGTCGCACATACCCGGCCGCCGTCTCTCCTCGAATCGGTTCGTGAAGAGTATCAGACTCCCTGTACTTGACACCCCCGTTCTCAGTCCTCTCCGACAGCCCCCCCTCTCTCCCCCTCTCCCTCCCTCCCTCGTCTCTCGCTGGACGTAGAGATACTCGCCGTACTCTAGTCCTTCGCTCCGCATACAGCCGCCAACTCTCCCTCCTGTGCCATCAGCCTCGCGCTACACATCTGGCCTCTCAATCTCGGTAGGTCATCCCTCTTCTTTCCTCCACCTCCGGCTCTCCCGGCCGCCTGCCTGCCTGCTCACTCTATGGACCGCCGCCCGGACCGCCGCCTGTCAGCCACTAAGGAACCACGGCTATTTCCACCCACCCACTCACCCGACCGAAATCCCTGGATGAGTACCGGAAAAATATTGGGCTGAAGGGCAGTATAGAACGGGCTGGAGGCGTCGTGGTGGTAGCGCTCATGATGGTGGTGATGGTTGTGGTTGCGGCGGCGGCGGCGGCGGCGGTGTAAGTGAAGCCTGTCAGAAACGGACGTGCCAGGCAAAGGGGGTCTTCGACTGTATACCAGACGCTCGGGTTGCCCACACCCTCTGAATCCATGACCAAAAAAAACCCACCTCGGCAATACCACCGCACTCACACCACTGCAATCCGAGCTGCGTGTCACTTCCACCACGTCTTTCATGTCTCCGCGCCCGACATCAGTGCATCGCCCGTAAGCCGGAATCGGACTCGTGCGTAACCATTGCGGCACGTCACGGGGCAGCCATGAGATGGGGAGTTTGCTTGTCGCCATTCACCGCTCGTCACTCGGCTAAACAGTCTTGCCGTGGACCTTCTCCTGTACCTGACCCAGTCGGTCAACCACGGCGCTTTCCCACACGACACCGCCTCACCCAAACCGCCTCGATCGCTGCCATTGTCGCCACGAACCCGATCCCTCCGCCAGGACTTTCTACCATCTAAACTTGATTCATTTGCTGTGCGCAGTCACTGACCTTCTTTCACTTCAGACTGTCTGCTACCAGCTGCACCAGTACCCACCAGCGCCGAAAAGGACGTGCAATGTAGGTCTTCACAATCGCCGCGTGGCTATGCATGGCACTTACCCTCGCCCTAGATCCAGCCTTCAGCTCTGGAATCTTGCATTCCATCTTCTGGCGATTTACACAACTCGGCGGACTCGTTAGCTCGTGCTCTGCCCCATTTCGAGACCCCGTTCAAATCACACCCTGTATTCTGGATGCAATTAGCAAGGAACTCGCCTTCTTCGACTTCTCCCGCTGTCTTTTTTCGTGTTTTTGTACACATCCCGTTCGCTCACTAACATAATAGTACTAATTCTGCAAGGGTATGCCGCGTCCACGCCCGTCTTGGCACAGGTCCACTGCTAACATGATGATATCAGGCTCTGTCCATCACAAGTAGCCTCCGACTGCACGCCGGGTCGGACCACAGACCTGACATTACAAACCAACTAATATCTGTCTCTACTTCTGTTGCCTTTCAGGCTGCCACTCACTAGACCAGCTTAACATTTGAAGCTATCCACTCACTCACCCACTTAACCCGAACGCGTATTCGATCGGATTACTACGTCTATCCCGGAGACCTGACGACTACTGTCTCGACACATATCCAGAACATTTCACAATGGCGTACCAGCAGCAGCAACAGCAACAGCAATCGCGCTACGGCCAGTGCGACTCTTACTTCGTCGAATCTCAAGACGACGGCATCTATGCCATCCGAGCCGAGGCTAGAGAACGGCACCGAGCCATCTCCAAGATGCAACAACGCGCCATTGCTGAGGAGCTTTCCAGAATGACAGCTGAAGAATACCAAGAGGATGTCATGCAACACATGCTGCACATGGAATCGCAAACACTACCCGATGTTAACTCGATTGACATTCAGACCGAGATCCAGTGGTTCATGCGCCCATACCTCCTTGATTTTCTGGTAGAAGCTCACGCTGCATTCCAGCTCCTCCCTGAAACCTTGTTCCTCGCCGTCAACCTTCTAGATCGCTACTGCTCGCGCCGTGTTGTCTACAAGCGCCACTACCAGCTCGTTGGATGTGCTGCTCTGCTCATTGCTGCTAAGTACGGCGACAAGAAGGATCGTGTGCCCACTGTCCGGGAGCTCAAGTCCATGTGCTGCTCTTTGTACGACGACGAGATGTTCACCCAGATGGAGTGGCATGTTCTGCAAACGCTCAACTGGATCATCGGTCACCCCACAGTTGATGCGTTCCTTCAGCTTGCGCTATCCGAGGCTCCTTACGATGCCGAGGTTGAGCACATGACGCTCTACATCGCCGAGATTGCACTTTTCCACAAGGAGTTTGTCTCTACACGGCCATCGGTCCTCGCTCGATCTGCTCTTGCCCTCGCGAGATGCATTCTTTCCCGTCCTCAAGCAAGAAGCACAGAGTGGTCTGGCGCCTACGACGCACAGAATGTGATTGGCCTATCCAACCACTTGTACCAGCCCTCTCCTGTGCTCTCTCGCAAGTATGCTTCGATGCACCTATCGACTGTATCCGCCACCGTGGACGAGTTCCTGCAGCGCCAGGCGCAGATTGCCCGCCGACAAGCAGCCCCGCCAACCCCGCCGCCCACCGTAGTCATTGACGAGCCCAAGACTTCTCCCGAGACGATTGGTCCTCAGACACCCAACAAGAACCCGTACGCCTCGGTCATGCAAAACGGATACCCGACCCCGCCCATCACTCCTGAAGGCGAGCAGTTCACATATGGCCACGTCGTCAAGTCGCAGCCTGCGTCCATGTATCCCTCGACGCCCACGTCGGAGCACCCGGTAGCACAACAGCAGGGCCAATACTACCACAGCCAATACCTCCACCCCCAGCACATGTAAGCAATCACTCGCGCTAGGCAGTGGCTGTATATTTTGACTGTCAGAAAGAACCCGAACCTTGGCGGACCATTGTGGCACTGTCCAAGAGTGTTCCGTTGTACCAAAAATATCTCGTGTATGTGCGTCATAGCATGGTAATCCTTTTTAGCATCTCCAAGCGTCTGTTTGCTCGTCTTCTGCGATATCAAAGAACACCACCTCTCTGTTTTGAGCATTTCTTTTGTTAAGTCCGACCCAAAAAAAATTGCACCTTCGTCTGCTGCCTTGGCTACTGGCTCATGGTCAGTAGTCTGGTGTGCGGGGCCTGGGTGAGGTCGGAAACACCCTTCTTTCTGGACATAGCATTCATCTAATATGGGTTTTTTTCTCGATCTCCACCCACGGCTTGAGGGGAGGAAACTGGCCAGAGGGTGAAATTGGAATACAAGCAAAGCACAAGCAGGCTCACTCGCAACTGTTGTTTGCTTACGCGAGCAGAGATACCCTTCTTCTTTCTCTTTTCGATATTTTTGTCGAACCCCCCTTTTTCTTGTTCTATGGGCGTTCAATCTTGTCTTTGCCTTTTTTTTTCTTCTCGGAGGAATAGTGGAGAGAGTGACATGCTACAGGGCATGGGGTGATGTCCAGATTGTACTTGACAGCGGGGCTGAAAGCGCTACGAACGGCATCAATTAACTATAGAAACGGTCGCCCACAGAAAATCCATCTTCCTTGTACGCGTCCTGTACAGCGGGTCCATGTATGTTTCAGTGTTTCAGGCTGCCGTATCCCCTATCCATCCAAGTTGGGCGAGTGGATGGATTTGCATTATGCGACACAAGCTACCTCCCCTCGTTGCAGGTTTCAAAATCAGCAATGCGGCTTTGAGTCTTTTAAGATGAGCTTGCCCTTTGCATCGAGCACCAAAGCACTATTCTCATCTCGATTGATTGCACATACTGCCGAGTATGCCTCTAGTGAGTTTGTAGACGGCGGCTACATGGCCCTATGACTGCGGCGATGCGCTAACCGCCCTAGATTCCTCTTACTACTACCAACGCGCCTCCAGGAGGTTATAGAATCCTCTCGCCGTATACGGACGACGACACTACGTTTGCGAACAAGACGCTGTGCCCTCGATATGCCGAATGCGATCCCACGTCTGCACCGCCATCGCCTGCATCGGTTGAGTCGCTGGACATGTTGGATAGTACTCCTTGGCGACGCGATTACATCTCACTCAGCAGCCACAGAAGGGCAAGCGGCAATACGCTACGAGCAAGATGGAAGGGGAATAAACTTTACGCCACGATGATGATGGTTTGTCTCTTGCTGATCCTCGCCGCTGCTGGCTCTGCACTAGCCATGTACCTCTCAGGCAGAGTTGAGAAAAGCAAGTGAAGAACAATAATAACAACAGGGCGGGACAAGGACACAGGCTCGCACTCTCTCTCCACAGTTCTGACACACATGGACGACACGACCAGGCTGGGCGGCCCACCTCGCCAAGTTGTACTGCCTCATGAGCGCAGTGACATCCAGGCTTGCGTGTGCTTTGCGGCTAGATTTGCATACTATGGACCACGCCCACGGAATATGTGTGGTGTGTGTGTGTGTACAAGGGCCACCACACAGCCCCCTCCCCCTTCCACCCCACCCAGCACCCCCCCTCTCTCTCTCCCTCTCTCTCTTTCTCACCCAGCGGATGCTATGGGAGACGTGGCGTGGCGTTGTCAGTCCAAAAAGCGCCCGAGACGGCAGGGTTTGCAAGGAAGGACCCTCGAGCCGGCCGGCCGGCCAGCCAGCCAGCCACGACTCTCTGTCTATCTGCCGTTCCGCGGGCAATGATAACATAATACAGTCTTAGTAGAGAATGGAGAGGGGTGGTTGCAGGGAAAACAAGAATGCGCAGGCCAGATTTTGGGCGAGGGGGGGGGGAGACGATGAAACTGGTAGTAGCAAACTCGGGTACTAACCCAAAGACCCCATGTTTCGTTTTTATTTATTTTATTTTATTTTGCCTTTGTGGGTGTGTGTCTTTGCTCTAGAATAGCACACACACACACACACACTTACAAGTCATGACCCTAACCCAACACGCTCACACATACATACCATGCTTCCTACAGGATTAATATTATCCGTGTCTAGTAATATGTTGGGAACGAGAGACAGAAAAGGAGGGGAAAGGGGGGGTGGGGTGGGCATGTTTGGACATACTTATGTGCCGTGGTATGCCTGGCGTATCATGCGTTGGGCCTCGCAAACACAACAGCTGGGATAATCCTCCTCATCCCCTTCCCTTCCCTTCCCTCCCCCCCCTTCTTTGCGCTGCTTTGAGTCTTTGACGGGCTTTGCTTTTTGCGGCGTGTCAGCAATCAAGGTGGGAAATACAGCCTTTCTTGCATGCGCGGTGCCTATTAACTGGGTATGGGGCGGAGGTGCGCACAGCACGCCCACGCACAGATGCTTTGCGTCCAGGGATCCCATGAAGCCTGCTGAGACAAGGAGGATCACGCCTTGGTCGCTGCGCGCGCACACACTCACTCACCCACTCACTCACGCACACGCGCACACTCACGTCGGCGCATGAGATGCAAAATGGTACTTAGCACCCGGTTGTTGTTATTTTGAGGTCGGCCTCCCTGTGCGTTGCCGTCACGTGCGTTCAACGGGCTGACTTATCGCCAGATGGGCGATAACGGCGAAGCTAAGGTCGGCTGGTTGGCTGGACTGCACTGACGGCGGCGGCGGCCGGCGGGCGACCGTGGCGCGTTGCAAACGACAACCATTTGCACCACAACAAACAAAGGCGATAGCGGGATGCTGTGATGCGACCTACATGTTGCAAACCCTGACACGAGTTCAATGGCGGAATCTGGACCCAGTGGTGGCCGCAAGGCGGTGCTGCACCAACACCCATCTCGTATGCTATCCCGGCATCGCCGTCGACCCTCTCACGCCCCGTCCACACTGAACAACCGCCCCATATGGCCGTTGGTGCTGCTCCTCGTGCTGGTCCACCTCTCGGCCGTCTTGTATACGCTGCCTCTGAACCGCGTCGTTGAGCTGCGCCTCTGCCAAGAGCATTACAAGGTGCACGATCCGGCTGCTGTGCTGCCAGACGGCTCCGTACCAGAGCGGCTGTGTAAGATCGATCCTGTCCAGCGTCGTCTGGCCTGGCTGCAAGGTACCATGGAAACGACGCTTGTTGCTTGTGGTAAGTGGCCAAGAATAGTAATTCTTCTGCTGAGCGAAGTAACCTCGGAGCGTGCGCGCGCGCGTTAACCATGTCGCTGGCTGACGTCTCCCCTCTCCCCCCTGCAGACTTCATCGTAACCATACCCTTTGGCTTTGTCGCCGAGCGGTGGGGCGTAAAGGTTGTCTTGTGGTGTAATTTACTGCCCAGGATCTTCATGAGTGCTTGGGCCATGGCTGTGGGTAAGTATGTGTGTATTCTATCGTCATCTATGATTTTTTTTTTCACACGGTATATTTTGATAATAATATCGAGATTTTTTCTAGGCTACTTTGCGACTATTCTGCCGACAAAGGCTATCATTGCCGGTCCATTCCTGAATGTCCTGGGAGGCGAGTGTGTACTGCAGTCAACCATATACACGCTTACTTCGGCCCTGACGACCGAATATGTGCAGAGGTGTGATGCATTCAGAGCTTGTGATGATGGTGGCGTGCGAGGCTTACGTTTTCTTAGAGCATCCTACTTTTCGTATATCAGCTCGACATCATATGTCGTTTCCTTCTTGGGGCCGACGTTGGCTTCGTATACCATGAGCAGGAGCTTTTGGTTGCCCTTTTGGATTAACTTGGCTCTTCTACTCTGCGCGATACCCACGGTTGGGTTGCTTCCCGCGACCTCGAAACCCCCTGCTGCACATGCCGTACCACAGGGTATTCCGCAGGCGACAGACGAGGAATCGGGTCCATTGCTCGGAAGCACAAGTGCCAGCTCAGATAGACATGCCAATGACCTGGACACGCACCTTGGTATCTTCCAGAGAATTGCGCATGCTATCCGTCGAATGAGGCGTTTGATTACTGGTCGCAGAAAGTTCCAGGTCTTGCTGTGTTCCTTCTTTCTCACTGCACTCGCGAGCTCAGATACAAAGCTCCTGGTGCAATACATCTCCAAGAGATATGAATGGACTTTTGCTCAGGTAGGTGTATCTACGCTCGTTTGAATAAACGGCAGATTGCTTACTACGTGTAGGCTGGCTACATGCTCTCTGCCAAGGCCTTGGTGAATTTCACTCTGCTTGCCATCGTCGTGCCCCGTATCATTCGTACCTCGATGGAAACGAGCACTGTCCGCGGCTCAGAAGTACGCCTCAACATCTTTGGGGCGGAAATCTGCATCGCTATTTCTGTCGTTGGCGTACTGTGTGTGGCAATGGCTTCAAGGTTTTGGATGTTGCTTGCTGGTAAGTAATTCTGAACGTGAAAAATATATAGACATAAGCTGACATATCTACTTAGCTCTGATCCTGTATGCCCTTGGCTCAGCTCTACCCGTATTCACCATGTCGTTGGTCAAGTCGCCTCTTATCGCGCTGGCGCACTCGGATGTCCAGGACTTCAGCATAGTCATGCTAACCAAGACGCTTGGATCTTTGGTCGGTGCTCCTCTGATGGCTTTTCTGTGGGTGCAGGCTATCAAACTAGGAGGTATTGGTGTTGGTCTGCCGTATTATGTCTCAGCGGTAAGTAAACGCACGATGCCAATCAAGGAAATACTCATCTATTTCACAGTGTATCTATCTCGGTGCAGCATATGTCATCGCAAGCTTGCGAAAGTAGAAGACTATTTCTTAACAATAGAAGAATACAAACAGAAGTCTATCCCATCCTCTCAGCTTGTGTAGTCAAACAGGAATGAGAACAGCACAGCTCGCAATCATGTATGCGCTTACACCAAACGCGCCCTGTATGTCGTACTTGAATCTTGACCACAGGATGCCAAAGATTAGACTAGCAATGATAAAAACAACGAGAATCACTAGTGAAATTGTAGCGCGATCCCAGTCTTCCTCGTAGTAGATGCCCCATCCAAAGGCGGGCTTCCCACACGTCCGCTTCGGCAGCTGATCTAGGATCCAAGTATCCTTTTCATGCACATCTGTAGGGCAAGTGATCAAACTTGACAGATACTCTGGTGGAATTGGCGGATATGTCGCCGGTGGGCCAGGAATACAGCGATATTCTGCGCCGGGTGAAGGCTCGACTTTTGGTTGAAGGCGGTATGCATTCACACGTCAGGGCTCCCACAGACACGGCCGTACAACACGGGTCATGGTGGCGCACATCGACACTGCCAGCGATTGGCAGCCGAAACCTGACGAACAAGACTCCCCTGATGCCCTTGAGAGAAGCCATGTGCAGTATACGGCCGCGATGGCGCATGTACTGTTTCCGTAAAAGCAGCACCAGTGTACGATCCGTAGTCATGTCTTCGATGCGGTCTTGCTGGAGCATTTTGCGAACCCGATCACGGTGCATACACGCCAGAAGATTAGTACTGATAGAGCCAAGGTGAAAAAAGAGATCCCGAAGTGAAGACCTATTGACTTTATCACTCTAGTTTTAGCGTATCTCGTAGCCGCGACTAGTTATGCCATATATCGAGTATTACAGATTTACGCAAGCAAGCGCACCTAGTCCTAGGTTAGTAGGCGAGGAGTAGTGAGACACCAGCATGGGCGAGAACAGCGACCTAGAGATCCAGTCGAAGAGGATAACGGCGTTATCATCGCAGTAGCGCCACCAGTCAATCGGGCCAGTATGACCTGACAACTCCGAAGTTGTATAGAAGATTCAGAAAGCACAGGAACTTGATATTATAGCATTTCATGATGTGCCTAGAAGGAATGGCCAACTCCGACTCAACTAGCTCTGGCTCTCAATCATTATACTCCACGCTAATCATGTAGACCCACAAGAACAAAACCCTCCAGCCAGCCTGACATCAGCCCCATAACCCTCAACCTTCTTGCTCAACTGCGTAACGGTCAAGTCCAAGCCCTACACCCACCCTTTTTCTCCTCATTGATTGTAGACAGTGGGGGTATTGACACAACACATTGAATTCGAAAAGGAAAGTAGCGAATCGTAGATTCAGAAGTACGGCTGCTTGTGTCTGATAATGGTAACTTGTGCCAGAAACTGGATGCCTATCATTGCTCTTGCAGATACACTGGCTTCACAATTGCTGTAGTGTCGTGTGACCTGATGTTGTCGCAAGGCATATAGCCGAGCCCGAGAGGAATGGTAGGTGCATGTTGTCACTTCGTCTTATTCTTCTTGGAGTTGCTGGGCCTGGTGTTGATTGTGGCCTCTGGGGTTATAGGGTGGGTGCTTGGCTGGCTGTCTGATATTACCCCTTCATCGGCTAAGCTGTGATCCTCGAGTTGTTGGGACAATTCTGAGAGGGAAGAGGCCATTTCCGGAAGCAGAGGTTGAAGTTCGAATTGTTCGGAGACTTTGAAATCCAAGTCGGAGGGGAGCATGTCGATAACGGAACAGATCCTTGAGAAGTGCTCAGGGAGCCATAAATCGTACATATTCTGAACAAAGGTGTATGCCGTCCACCGATTGTCTCCTTGTTCGGTCTTTGAAATATCAAACTTGGCAATTGGATGTCGGTAGAATGTGAAGTCTTTCCCATTGACAACAGCGTAATGTCCCCAGATTCTTACATACTCATCGCTATGAGAGATTGAAAAGCCGTTAATTTCTTGATGAAGATCGTTCTCCCGACCCACAAGCCGGAAAAGCTCTATCAAACCACGTAATGCAACGGTTTGACTGTGAGCATTCTGCCGATCAGCAATGTCAAGGGCGGATGCTCCGCATTTCACTTCGCTAGTAAGGAACGGAAAGTACATGTCGTACGTGGCCGCAAAATAGGAGCAATCCTCTAATTCATTTCCAATGAAGGGCTGGAGTTTCTGTAGTCGTTCCCGGGTAAAAGCTTCTCGCTTGAATCCAAGGCTGTAGTCCGGTTGTGGGCGTGATCCGTAAAAGGGAATGGCGTTGTTCCAGCCAGCGTTGGTGGTCTCTCTGAGAGTCTTTAGGTGCTTGGCGCCGCGGATTGCTAAGATTTCGGCAGGAGGAACAATAAGCTGCGCGATATCACGGATCACTCTGGCCTCGTTTCTACCTTTGATTGATTCCAAAGTATCCTCAAACAGTTCATCTTCAAATAATGTATCTTTCGGCAGCGATTGTGCCGAGTTTAGAAGCTTTTGGCAAAGCGCTTTGCTTTCGGCGCTGATGCCACCTTCATATCTACACATGAAGCTACCGCGCTCACTGAGTTGACCTTCGTAACGTGGGTGTCTATATGGAGTGCTCTTCTGTTCCCGCGGTTGTTGGTCACTCGGCGTTCGTGTTGAGACTGTTTCGGTGTTGATGCTAGCATCTGAACGCTTGCGGCGGAGAGAAGCTAATGATTTCTTTCTTGCTAGCACAGGCTGAGCAAGGTCGCGAAATCGGTCCATTGTGTTCTCTTGTTCCTCTGTCGGCCAGGTTCGGGTTTCATTCCAGTAGTCAACCCGAGCCTCTGTGATTGTCTTCCGCCTAGCTGGTTTGCCTACTGAAGCTGTAGATGTTCGTACTCGCTTTGGAAACGGCTCGAGGGAAGGGAGGGGGTGTGAAACTTCGTCTTCTTCTCGAGCTCGCTTTGGCGACTTCGCTGGCTGAATGGAGTCGGGAGTTGTCTGGATAGGATTAGCACCTTGGAGCCGTAGGCCTCTGCGTCTTTGTGCAGAAGGGGTGGGAGGTAGTTGGACAGGCCAGGGCTGGGGAGATAGTTTTTGGGGTTCTTCTGAAGGGCGCGCGCATTCTGGCTCGTCGGCTTGGGTTTTAGGGACTTCTTGCGGGCGCTTCCATTTGGTGCGGGTCGGCTGAGAAGTGAGTGCAAAAGGGGTGGGAGGTGGTTGGATGTGTTGCAGCCGCGCGCTACTTCGAGTGCCAACACATCGTGTGGACCTTACAATGGGGGTCCTCTGCCGAGGTCCAGTTGCGGTTTGGCACCTGTTATTTTTGGCGGGAGCAGAATTGGTCTGCGGGGTCATTAGTATAGAGAGAGAAGCGTGACGCACAGTGCGGCGCTGGATATATGATGACGGGATTGAAGGATGGATGCAAGCGTGGCAGGCGCGAAGTCGAATGGAGAAAGCGTATGACGCTCAGGGCTTGGCGCTAGTAAAGGTGCCAGTCTGAAACGGGAAAAGTCACCCGCACCACCCCCCAACCTACGGTTAGCGCTAGCTACCTTAACGTAAATAACTAGCTTAATATGAATTTACTTAAGATTTTCCGTTTCTTCGCGAATCGAATTTGGATATTACGTCTACAAGAAATACATCGACAAAGTTAAACGGGCTCCTATCACCCGGCAGGTTCACAAATAATAGAACAGGGTATAACACAATCGACCACGCGCTTTTTATATTAGAGACCAACATGCTAGCAGAGTGGGAGCTGCAGAGTAGATACGCGTTGCACTAAAGAGCACTTGGGAAATTCAAGAGTCTAATCCCGTTATACCGTGCGTCCCGGCACGTAGGGATGGACGTTATTACAGAATGTTGAGTGTTGGTATCATGGATGTAAGAGTAATGCAGATCGAATCCATTGCTTAGATGTGTCCACTCTAAGGTTTGGCTATTCACGAGGGACATGTTAGGATATTCTTTTAAGACACGATATAAATTATAAATTATCATACGCCTTAACGTGGTTCACAAGTGAGTCGCTAACCCAAGCAAGTCGCTAACGCCCTACCACTACATCTACATCAACACGTTATTATAGTTTTTTATCACAGTTAATAAACTATTGCGATATACTAAATTAATTATTAGAATCGCTACTATTACTTGCACTATCTATCTCAACTACGTAGGTACGAGCGTTGTGTCTAGTCTGCTTGCAACGCCCGCACCGCCGCTCTCCTCGCACCTTCTTCGACGCACTCTCACTATCACCACAACTGCTACCCGCCTGTTTAGCTAATACTTCTTGTACTTCGCCTATAGTAAGAGTCTCTTCTGTCCGTACGTATCGCCGCTTGCGGCTTTTATGCTTATTTAACTCGTTAAGAGCCGCTTAAAGCGTACCTATTTCCTCTATTATAAGCGTTATTTTATGTGCTATTTACTAGGCCTCCTTACTTAGCTACGCAATCTACTTAGTAAGTAAATTAGTAGAAGACCTATAGCGTTTTCTTACGCTTTCTTAAATAAGACTAATTTAAGACTTAACTTCACGCGCGTTGCGTGGTGTCTGCGCCTACTAGGCGGCTACTTATTGTAGTAATTATATAGGTGTCTACACTACTATATCAAGCTTAGATAGCATAGCCTATAGGTCGTGTGGGACTAGACTAGCGCCTCTAAAGCTAGCTTAGATATTCTCCTTTGTAATAGACTGCTTAAAAGCAGTCTTAAAGGCTAGTAGGAAGGTCTCTTTGCTAATATAGTAAGTGCGGTTGCGTGCTAAGCCTAAAATAGCGTTGCTATACTTACGCTTTAATAGATAAAAGCAGGTAACGTTAAGGGGCTGTAATAGGTAAGATAAGTGCGCAGGCATGTAGAGAAGCATAATATTCTTCTCTTTGCAAAGATCTTAGAAATTAATAGAGTAGTAGCTCTTATGGCTATTAATAATAAGTAGTTAATACCTACCTATAGTAGAGCTCTTTATATAGGTATTAAAGTGCTCTAACTAGGCAAGACTAAGCTAATTATTCGTCTAGCTATTAGGACTAACTTTAAGAACCTCGTTAGCAGGCAAATCCTTAAACTAGACGTTAATAAGCACCTTGCCTGCAAAGACAACAAAGGGTAGTATTTAGCAACCTAACGCGCCTACGCCTTAGATTATAGTAACCCACCTATAGTTGCCTAGCTATATCTACTTTTTTTTCTTATATCCTTCTTATAAAGGGCTTTCGCCAGAGAGGTATGACCTACAGGTCACATGGTAGTGAATCACATGACTTTAGTCACGTGACTAAATAACGTGGTTAGTTACGTACGAACAAGCTTAAGTAAGGAGGAAGACTAAAGGTCTGAGCGTTCGTACGAGTAACAACTATAAAAGGAGGGCCCTCTAGATAGTTCTTTTGTGTATCTTTCTTCTTCTGTACAATAGGTGAATGCATACTCTTTAGTTAGGCCTCTTTCGCCTATAACACTTCTAATACTATAATAACTAACTACAATAAAATCTTGCCTATTATAAAGCTAGTCTTATTAAAGTTGTAGATATTGTCGTCTACAATACCTCACTTCTACTTTGTCGCCTAGACTAAGTCAAACTAGCGCTAGATAGCTACTAGATCCTCGCAGGCGGCTTGCTGGTAATTATAGGGACAGCTCTAGCGCGTACGGAGCTTAGAAGTCTACTTAACAAAGTTGTTAACCTAGTTCTTGCTAATAGAGTTGCTACTACGCTCTTCTAATAGTTTATTAGCTATTACTTAAACGTTAAGCTTTGTAGGCGCAAATCTTCGCGTAGACTCTTAAATGATATGCTTAACTATAGCCTCCTCTTTTAGCTTATCTAGACGCTTTAATTTTAGCTTGCAGTCGCGTTAAGGGCGCTTTCTAGCGCGTTGATTAGATAGAGTTCTTTGTAGGACGTTGTAGATAGTAGTAGCATAGTTCACACTCTAAACACGTTACAACTAGACGTTAAAAAGAGCAAGTTAAAGATTAGATTTAAAATATATTAATAGATAGTTATGTTGTTAAGACATCACGCGTTATAGTGATAAAGTTAATAGGCTAGTAGGGCGTTAGCGACTCACTTGTGAACCACGTTATGCGTATAAGTGTAACGATGTTACAACTTCGCCAAGTATGGAGCCAATCCCAGAGCCGGATCGGA